GATAGATAGATAGATAGATAGATAGATAGATAGATAGATAGATAGATGATAGGAAAACTGGTGCCAGGGAGCACCCATATTTTTGGAACCCAAATGCAAAAACGGATGCTAGGGCAAGGCTCAAGTTGGAATTCCATGCTTAAAAATGGTGTCGCTTGTTATTTTTAAAAATTGAACCTTTTTGGTCCGTGGGGAAGAGGATGCCTCAGCCAGGAATATCGGTGCCAGGGGAGGCAAATATTTTTTGAAATCAAATGCAGAAATGGACATCAGGATGAGATTTGCTGTAGAATAAAATGCTTTAAAATGGTGTTGCTTGCTTTTTTTTTTTTAAGAGACTTTTTGGTGCCAGGGGAAGAAAACGGGTGATGCCGCAGTTAGGAAAACTAGCGCCTAGGGAGGAAAATATTTTTGGAACCCAAATGCAAAAACAGACACTAGGACGAGATTCAGGATAGAATATAGATGAGAGGAGGGAGGAGGGAGGGGTGGGAGAGAAAGAGAGAGAGGGAGGATGGATGGAGAGATGGAGATGATAGAAGATAAATAGATGATGATAGATGATAGATGGAGATAGACAGGCAGGCAGGCAAGATTTCTCCAGACTTCCCTCCTATTTCCCTAAACAGTAGATGGTGGGAGAATTTAGAAACTCTGATGCCCAAAGGATGAATTTTCTTTGTTTCTATATTTGGGTGATTTCAACCTATAATTTCTTTAATAAAATAAAATCATGGATAATAGGCACCACACCGCATTCAGTCCTTAAGCAAGATTTATTTAATGGTGCATTTTAATCAAAGAATCCTAAGAAATATGTTCACCCCAAAACCTGCCTGCATGCTTAGCTCAACCTTGCTTTAGATTGTCCATTATTTTATCCATAAAGAAGGCAATACACTTTTGAAATAATACTCATACAAAGTTATTCCAATATACCTTGGTATGTGACAAGTCTGTACAGTTTTTTTTTAAATTAAATAATATGATTGTGGTTTATTCCTTTGATCACTTTGAGTTCATAACTCTTATCTTGGCATTAGGAGACTAAATTAAGCAGAAAAAGGAACAGAATGAGAAGAAAGGGGAAACTAATAGATCTCTTGAGAATGAAGCAGTACTATAATTTTAAAAATGCAAAATATTATGCTATAAATTGTTTGGTAATAAATTGAATTCATAGATAACTATCAATTCAATGTGGCTTATTCCCAGACATCTATAAAAATGGTTGTTGACATACTTAGCTTCATAGGAGAGAGGTGTCAAGGTTGGATTGGCAGAAGAAGTCATCTCTGGTTTAACAACCTGTGTTATAAGTATGAATCTTATTCCACAATGGAGCAGAATTAATCCAACCTTTTTGTTGCTAGTTCCCACAATGGGAATTTTTCTTTCTCCTATTTGGGTTGTCATAGCTGCTGTTTGAAATGTTTACATGGCCACATCTATGTGTTTGCATTTATATACCAATATATTATAAAGTGGTATTAAGGCCACACTTGGAATATTTGCATCCAGTTTCAGTCGCCACGATGTAAAAAAGATGTTGAGATTCTAGAAAGAGTGCAGAGAAGAGCAACCAAGAGGATTAGGGAACTGGAGGATAAAACATATGAAGAATGGTTGCTGGAACTGGACATGGCTGGTCTAGTAAAGAGAAGGAGCAGGGGAGATATGATAGCAGTATTCCAATATTGGAGGGGCTGCCCCCAAAAGAAGAGGGAGTCAAACTATTCTCCAAAACACCTGAAGGCAGGACAAGAAGCAACGGGTGGAAATTAATCAAGAAGAGAAGCAACTTAGAACTAAGGAGAAATTTCCTGACAGTTCAAACAATTAACCAGTGGAACAACTTGCCTCTAGAGGCTGTGGATGGTCCAACACTAGAAGTTTTTAAGAAGAGATTGGACAACCATTTGTCTGAAGTGGTGTAGGGTTTCCTGCCTAAGCAGGGGGTTGGACTAGAAGACCTCCAAGGTCCCTTCCAAACTCTGTTATTCTATTCTATTCTATTCTATTCTATTCTATATACAGTTGCAACTGAGGTGATATGCGTGGTTTTTGGGGTTAAATTTCCAGGGATTTAGGGAGAGAGAACTCTGAAAGGATTATTATTCTGGCAATTCAGATGCTTCTACCAAGGGATCCCCAATGAGAAAAATAAGCAGAATGCCTGGGAAGTAAACACAGCTTTTCGTAAATCTGGTCAGGAACACTTGATTGAACACTGCCTCGCTCAATCCTTTGCACGAAAACAAGCAGGCTCAGCTTCGTAAGTCCTTAAATAAAACACATTTGTTTTTATTTGTGCCTTAAATAAAACAATTTTGCATGCTCCCTTGAGAAAGGATGCTTCTATTTTATGATCAGCGGTGTTAGCCAAATCTCTGTTATGTGAGCACTGTTTTCTTCCATTCCTTATAAAGAGTTTAGGATTCACATTTTTAATTTGGTCACCAATTCCCCACTGGGTTCATTCATTCTGGGAAGGAAGAAGGCAGCTGGCCAACCTGAAATTTCGAATTGCTTTGTGTTGTTGATAAATGGTTTATTTTGGTTCTTTTTCAAGGTCAGCAGCCGTGGCCGCTTTTCAGAGCTGGCTTTATGAATCAATTGACAATCTTGCTCCATTGCAAAGTGGTAACAGTCCAATGATGCATCGGGTCGCTTGTAAAATTTCCACCCTTTGATGCATCTTTTTGTAACTTGTGTGAATTTCAGATCAAAAGTTTCTTTGCCAATAGAAGAGAATATTTGTAATTCAGAATTGAAAGAGTTATTTATTTATTTGATTTATTTGATTTGTCAATCGCTTATAAGACAATAGGTAAAAGTATAAACATGAGTAAGAATACAGGTAATAGGTACGAATAAGTTAGTTACTTTACTTTGTTGTCATTGCACCTCATACAACGAAATTAAATGCCATCTTCAGTGTACAATTATAACTATAAAAATAAAACACAAACATACATCCTTTACATTCTATACACTTGAATTGAAAACCGCTGATATTGCATTAATATTGCACTTGGTGCAATATTAATCCTTGATGCTCTCTGGGTTTGGCTGTTTTCTTGCAGATGTTTCATTACCCAACTAAGTAAAGTTATCAGTGCTAGAAGGGGGTGAAGTTTGGAGGAGGAGGAGGAGGAGGAGGAGGACTGAGGGTTCTTGGTGCAGTCCAAGTTGGTGGTTTACTAGCAGATATTTCATTACCAAACTAAGTAGCATAGTGCAGTGAATAAGTTTCACAATAAAATGTATCAGTGTGGTGAATAAAACTTTATTCATTTTTCATTTGTCAAGGCCTACTTCACCCTGAAAGACAAGGCTGCAGCAGGAATAGCAGACTGAAGTTCTGGTGACTGACCTGTCGTTCACCCCAAATACTCTCGCTGTAGGTTGAAAATTAGCAGATCAGAATCAACTTTTGCAAGCATCACCCTCTTCCTGTTATGATGGTTTTCTACAGGTGGAGCTAGGCTCACCGTTGAGTGAAGAATACAACTGAGTTATTAACTGTTTAGAAAATATCTGATGGGTATATAGTTCCTATTGGCAGTTAGCTGGTGCCCAGGAGCTTTAGAAGATGCTGGTAATTTTAAAGCATCTTTCAGTACATAAACAAACCTCCAGTGATGGAGAACCTGCAACTTCGGAAAGCTGTTCCAGTGGTTTATTGTCCTCACCACCAGGAAATTTCTCCTTAGTTCTAGACAGGATCTCTTCTTGATAAGTTTCCATCCATTACTTCTTGTCCTGTCGTCAGTGCTTTGGAGAATAGGTTGACCCCTTCTTGTTTGTTGCAGCCTCTCAAATATTGCAGGGCTGTTATCATGTCACTCCTAGTCCTTTCTCTTTGTTAGATGAGACATATACCCAGTTCCTGCAACTGTTCATTGTGTGCTTTGGCCTCCAGTCCCCTAATCATCTCAGTTTGCTCGTCTCTTCAAGTCATCCAAACCAAAACATTGAGTACAAACTTCAGAAGGTCTAAATAGCTTGGGGAACAATGTTCTATGGTGGCTGAAGTGTTGGGGCTTTGCGGAGAGGCCTTTTTTGAAACCGTCAATTTACAATGGAGCTCCCTCAATCCAGAGGTGGGATTCAGCAGATTCTGACCAGTTCTGGAGAACTGGTAGTGGAAATTTTGAGTAGTTTGGAGACCCAGCAAATCTCACCTCTGACTGGCCCCGCCAACCCCATCTATTCTCTGCCTCCTGAGTCTCAGCTGATCGGCTGGGTCTTTTTTTGTTGCCCTGCACAGGAGAACGGAGCTGGAAAGCAGGTTAGTGGGGCAGGGAAGGGAATGGGGATTTTGCAGTATCCTTCCCCTGCCACACCCACCAAGCCACACCCACCAAACCATGCCCACAGAACTGGAAGTAAAAAAATAATAATCCTACCACTGCCCCAATCATTTGGAGGAGGTCACTTCCTCTCAGTCCTTGGTTCCTCACAGGAGGGTTGTGAGGGTTACTCTTGAGGAAGAAAAGTGAGTCTGAAAATATATCAATAAACTCCTCTCCGAGGTAGCTAGGTAGGCCAGAGATCTCCAAACTTGGCAAGTTTAAGACTTGTGGACTTCAACTCCCAGAATTCTCCAGCCAACCGAGCTATGCTGAGGAATTCTGGGCGTTGAAGTCCACAATTCTTAAACTTGCTAAGTTTGGGGACCCCTGATGTAGGCAATAAAGTCCCAACCTGTGGGATAATGTTGAATGAGTAGGTACAGAGAAGAGCAGCCTCAGTAACTGAGACCCCTGCTTATAGATTGCCCTTCCCTAAGGAGGTTCACCTGGCACAATTGCATAGCTTTTAAAAAATTCTATAAGTCTTTGCTGCGGGTATTTTACATTTGAATGGTTTAATCAATAATGTCAAACAGCGTCCCTAGAGATATACTTAGCCCTGTTCAAGCTTTTGGAAAGCATATTTATTGCTTGTTGGTTTCAATGCAGGTGATGTTCGCTTCCATAGCAGCTCTGGGCAATTCACAATACAACAAGCAATAAAAACACAATACAGAAGAAAACAAGATGGGATCCAATTGCTTGGAGGAAAAACAAAAACAGATCCAAATCCTTCCCAAAAGAATCCATCCTGGCCTAAGTCTTCCTTTTTAAATGGGTCTTTTAGGATTGTGATGCCTAGTGGGTAAAGAGCAAGATTTTCGCTTGCACTGCATTGCTTCTTTGTCTTTTGAGACGGCTCGGCTGAACTCACAATACACCCCCTTGCCTCCGAGTTAGAGTGGGACAGGATGGAAATGTGGCTAGTTAATTAACCACAAGAAGTTGTTCTGCCTTGGCTCATTTTGCCTGCACTCATGTTGCAGTTTATCTTCTTAATCTTCTAATTTGTGATGTGACTTGAGAAGATTTGCTTTGTAAATCAAGAGGCAGTTTGAAAAATAACAAAAATAACTGGATGTTCCCGCAAAACGTTTGGCGCTGCCACACTGCCCTCTAGTGCAATTTCCACCTCCGTTTCCTTTCCCCCAGGGTGCAACTTTGCAAAAGAAATCAAAACACGACTAAAAAAGAAAAGCAAACACCTACTAGAAAGGGCATCTTGGGGGGGTGGGGGCGGAATCCAAGCTTTTACCACCAGGTGAGATTCTATCCCAGGCTGAGAAAAAGCTTTCAGAACGAAGTACGGAGAAAACAGTCAGATTCACACTTTCAGTATGTATTCCCCATGCATGCCTGTTTACGCTCTTATAATCCCTTCTTCTCCAAGGTAAATATATACATTAATTCCAACTTGCTAATTTTAGAACGAAGCAGGGAGAGAACAGTCAGATTCACACTTTCAATGTGTATTCCCCATGCATGTTTGTTTACTCTTTTATAATCCCTTCCTCTCCAATGTAAAATACATACATTAATTCCAACTTGATCATTATCCCAGCATCAGGATGAACATGCCAAAGGGTTGGGGAATGAAAAGTATGAAACTGTTTAGTCTTGTCACTTTTAAACAGAAAGCCCAGTTGCAATCACACAATTCCACACTTTGTGACAGCAGTTGCTGGTCCAAAGCTTGGTTGCTAAACAAGGACTACATATAAAGTTTCCAGTCTTACTCTGATGCCAAATGTTAAATTTGAGGTCTGCCACATGCAAAGAAAGGGATGCCATGGCTCAGTGGCTAAGATGCTGAGCTTGTCAACCAGAAAGGTCAGGAGTTTGGCGGTTCGAATCCCTAGCGCCGCATAACGGAGTGAGCTCCCATCACTGGTCCCAGCTTCTGCCGACCTAGCAGTTTGAAAGCACGTAAAAAATGCAAATAGAAAAATAGGGACCACCTTTGGTGGGAAGGGAACAGCGTTCCGTGCACCTTTGGTGTTTAGTCATGCCGGCCACATGACCACGGAGACGTCTTCGGACAGCGCTGGCTCTTCGGCTTTGTAACGGAGATGAGCACCGCCCCATAGAGCCAGAAACAACTAGCACATATGTGCAAGGGGAACCTTTACCTTTACATGCAAAGACATGGCAAAGGAGTTGTTCAGCCTCTGAGCTCCAGTAAATCACTGTCAAAATATTTTGCCCAGGAAGTAAAAAAAATCAATCAATCTGGTAGCATACGAAAGAATCAATCTCAAAACTGCATGAGTGCAAAGGTGTTTTATTGGCATAAATACATAGAGAAATCCTTTTTAGGTAGCATTAGGTTAATCATGTGCTTTCTGCCGAGAATTATTAAGTACGTTTGATTTATGTAAACAGATTCTGCCAAACAACCTGGGTTAGATTGGCACCCATCAAGGAAAGACTGAAACAAAGCAAGGCAAAAACGAAAAGGGTACAAAATACTAAAAGACTGGAAATACATTGGGAGGGAAGCATTTTCAGACTAGAGGCATCTAATCAAAAAAATTTGGGAGAAGGGAATTAAACGGAAGCATTTAGAGACTTAATAGATAGCAGTGGATATAATTCTTCTGAAGCAGCTATATGTGATGACTTACGTTGGGGAGCAGACAAATCATACATTTCTAGGACAAATATCTCCCTTGTCCAGCAATGCAAATCTCTCTTTTGATCCATCTAATAGCCACCCATTCTTGGTGGGGGGGAAAGCTCCATGCATCTGATATCCAGAACATGAATAATTTTCACTTTACTGCCAACAAGCCCAAATGTGACCTTCACCATATATAACTTCTCATCTGGACATTAACAGAGAAACAGAATAACAGAATTGGAAGGGACCTTGGAGGTCTTCTAGTCCAACCCACTGCTCAGTTGGAACCTGTACCATTTCAGACAAATGGTTGTCAAATCTCGTCTGAAAAGCCTCCACAACCTGTCCCACTGATTAATTGTTCTAACTTTAGCTGGGCGTAATGGGGACTGTAGTCTAATACAATCATTGGGTCTAGCAAGGTTTATAAAAGTCAGCAGTTCACCAGCCTGGTGTAGTTTAAGTAACATCTGCATAAGAATGCATTTTGTAAAAAAAAATTAGCTTAACCTAAATAGTGTAAAATACAAAAGTAGTACAAATCTGGGCCCATCTCTGGTTTTTCTGTCTTGCCTTAAATTACACATTGTATGATCTTCTGATCAAACCTTAAAGACTATTAAATGGGATTGGAAAGATTCACATTCAATTAATTTTTTCTAGCTGCCTTCCTGTAATAGGTTTTAGCAGAGGTAGATTTGTAATGTCAGCCATGAAACTCGGGAATCTAGGAGGTTATCACAAAACTTTGCATATTCTTGGAGTGAAGATTAAAAAAAGGGAGAGTCCAGATGTTGTCCAAAATGCCAGCTGGAAGACCCCCCCTCTCCGGTCTAAGGGCCAGCTCGCTACACATTATTTTAGGAAGGCCCTTGCATATTCGAAGGCTGTAGGACCTTTATATTGCTTTCAATGGGATTTACACAAAGTAAAGTCAACGGGGGAAGCCAGATTGGCTTAATGACCATGGAATTCTCTTAACAACCATGGCAAAAAAGGTTTGTAAAATAGGATGTGACTCATTAAGTGACTACATTAGCAATGGAAGTTGCAACCACAACTGTTTTCATAAGACAAGGACCACCTGCATGAAGTTGCTCTCCTTGGTCCTGAAATGTTGAGCCTATGGAACTTAGCCCCATCCCAACTCTTAAGGGCCCTGATGTCCTATGTTTCTTCTGGCTTAAGCTGTCATGGGCCTAAATGACTACGGTCATGATGAAACAAGACTATTCAACGTTGCGTATGACAAGGAAGGGTTTTTTCCCCCATCTTCACTGATGGCATGTTATCTGTGTAGGCATGTAATACGACCATGGAAAGAGGTCAATTTTGTGAATAAGGCTGCAGCCCTATCAGCTTGTAGTAAACTAACTCAAAAACACAACA